CTGGTCTGCCCAATAAGCCAGCAGTTAATTGGCCTGCAAGATTCCTACTTAGGAAATAGAAACAAGCAATGGAAAAGTCATCTATTGGAAAACTTTAACTCTGCTCCTTTCAGTGAAGATTTTGTGCCTGTAACATCTTCCCAGTGAATCAGAGAGTGGAGATATAATTGATGCAGGACAGCATCTGCTAGTAAGGCGTTAGGTAGACCAACAATAAGATATTATTCTGTACACTTAAAAATCAATTTGCATACATGCCAACTATTTATTTCTAAAATAAACACCTCGTATAAACGTAAATAATTTTTTCCCCCACTAAATTGTAACAACCTAAGTGGAGCTACACAGAAACAATGCTGTAAGTATCCTCTTCACCAGGGTGCTGTATACATGATAGACTCGTCCAGCACAAAAGGTTCATCCACTGCCAAAGAGCACATAAATAGTCAGAGAACAGCACAAGTACCCTACAGTGGGCACAGCTACACCAACAGGCACAGATGAAAAAGCAATGCATGTTTTAGGGACAAGCAGATAATGAGTACAAACACTTTGGTAATCAAAAAGCTAGATGTAATAGCTGACCTAATAGAGACTAAAAAAAGCTGATGTGACACTGGAAATATCACATGGAACATAAAAGAGGCAGGAGACAAATGTCAGGGGCTGTTTGATTTCTCTCTCAACAATTCCATGGACGATCAAATTTGATCCTGACGCTCCTCTGCCATAATGGCTATGCAAATTCTTGCCCATGGCTGGACTGCTGGTGAATTATCAACTTTGGCAGCCATGGTGGCATTTCATTTTATTCCCTCATCTCATTTCTGCTTTTACCCATCACAGGTTTTTTTAATGCAGATACCAACATTTTCAGATGAGATTTCAGCACTCTCCCAAGAGTTAACAGAGTTGCTCTGATCCATGCCTGGAAATCTTGGATGCAAACACCAAAAATTAGCATAAGCTACACCAGTTAGCTGTCATTTTGTCACGCACACAATGAGATTCTTCTCTCTCCCCTCTACCATAGCAGTGCATTTAACAATTTGCAGAGTTTATTGAGATCATGGTAAGGATCTTCCTCAGATGAAAATACATGCATACACACACATACAAACATGTAAGTTAGTTTTGAGCTACTCATAATCTTATTCCTGGTCTCCCCAGCCCTTTTGGAACAGAAACGACCACATCTGTGGCATCCATCATTTCTCTGTAGGTAGCTCAATAATATATAATAACGAAACAAAACAATTCACTCTAAGTGTATCTAATTTGAGGCTTATTATTCAAGACCATTTCCTCATTAAGCTAGTTTTCCAGCACTCTCCTCCCTTTGACTGTCTGTGAACTGGGTTATTCTTCCCCCCCATATGCTATCACGACTTTTCCTATTCCGAGCTCCTCTGTAGCTGTCAGCTCTGGTTCTGACCTATCTTCCACTGAAGTGAAGGCAGTTTCCCTTCTGGTGCTGTAGAGGATGCTAGATGAGGTTCTATTCGCCCTCTCTGTAATCAATTGTCATCATATATCTCTGTCCTTTTCTAGTGTTTGCAACGCTGACTAATGTAGCATCATTTGTAAATGTAATTAATGAGCTGTTTATGTACTCTTCAAAAATCATTAATAAAGATGTTAAATTAAACTGTGCTTAGCGGTGCACCCTGAGTCACCTTGCACACTTCTGTCCAACTTGATACATTGCCATTCATCACTACTCATTCATAATGCCTCTAGCAATTGTAAATCCTTTGACATGATCCACATTCAGAACAATTTGAATATATATATTTTTAACTATTTTTGCATGCTTTTCTAGTCTTGCTGTTTTTTTCTGTTTCAAAGATAAGTAACACGTTCACATTTTCTTCTCCTTCCTTCTCCACTTGCTACAGCCACAAGGCTTTCAGATTTAGCTAATTCTTGTAGCATACCAGGGCTTGCTATCGCCAATACCTACTTATGACAAAAGAATACTGTTTTTAATCAGGAGCTATTTCAAAAATTTTTAGTTTCCTCTCGCCTACTCACATGCATCTCACTCTAAGAAGCAACCAATGTTTGCCATCAACGAGCTCTGCTGGTCTTCTCTTCCTTATTTTCTGTGGGCAACCATCTATTCCCCCTCAGTTCCCTATTGCAAATACATCTGTTGCCACAATCCTGTCCACATTTTTATGTTGCTTACTTGAGTCATAAGTACTTCTGCATTCTCTACAAGCACCTAAAATCTGTAGGGTTTTGTGTTGTCATTTTTTTTTTTTCACTCCTCCATTTCTACTCCCTACCAACTATGTCTACTGTATACTGGATCTTGTAAAACCCAATTGCACTTTGTATTCCTCTCTTCTGACTTGCAGTAATCTACTGCTCCTTAATTGAATGAATTATACATCTTACTTTGCTCCGGGCTTGATTTGTTCATTAGGGTAGACCTTCAAGTAGCCTTCACTCCCCAAAGCATTGCTGAAATCGCTAGACTTGAGGCTTTTCAGAACAGTTCACAATCAGTCATGTGGACTTTAAAATCTATATTGCTTGCTAAGCTTCTTAATGCTGGTATGAATGAATGGCTCTTGGCTCCTGCTCAGCTTGTGCAGCTGTGTCCTGCCATTCTGGGTGATGGGTTTTTTTGTTGTTTGCTTTTATCTTGAACAGGTGCAGAGTCAACAGCTCCTAACCAGCAAGGAAATCATCCATGGACAGTTTCTCTCATGGCCATTTTTTCCTCCTAGAATACCAAGCTATTTTTTGTGAAATGCATGAAACCCACGAGCAGAACACCTCTTTGTTATTTCATTAACATACAAAGCTACCACCTAAAATGTCCACAAATTACTGAAGCCCTACAGGTACAAGCAGTGCTAGTGATGACCAATGCCTACTGCAAATTTTCCTTTCTTACATTTCAACATTTTCTTTTTTCCACACCACTTTATTTTTTTCCTTTTTTTTTCTTCACTGATCTGAATGGCCCAGAAGCAGTATGTAACTGCCCAAAGGCAAGAACAAGAATGTACACGGGCACAACAGCACCAAATCCTTACTGCCTCCAACGATGGGAGTCACAGCAGGACCTTAATGCCCCTGCATGTATAAACAGTCCTGGAGAAGAGTTCAAAACACCCTCAGAGGTTGCTTTCACTTCTAATTTATGTGCATAGTATTAAAAGTAAAATAAAAATCGTAATCGATTAACTGCTATTTGGTGTCACCTCTCTTTAGTGGCTGAATAATAACAAAGAAGGCTCATTGGACAAAATTTGGCAAGTACAGAGAAGATGTTTTCAGCAGGAAAAGTGTGGAAAGCACAGTTCACTCCAAGAAAAAAACTAAGCCATATTCACCCATTTTTGTCTCAGTATGCTACACCTAGCTCAGCCTAGAAATTTTGCATCTCCCATCTCCTCAAAAAGAGGCGCAGTCACACTCATGTGATAACTTCCTTCTCCTTTACACGCTTAGGGAATGTATGGCTATCCAGAATGAACATTTCAGCTGCTACGTTTGGAGCTACAGAATCCAAGCTGCAGAGCTGGAAAGTAAACAGAGCTGTGGACAGAGGAAAAAAAAAAAAAAAAAAAGGACTCCACCATACAAGATGGAGAATAACAAGATACAAGAGTAATGACTGCTGAAAGGAACACTGTCCCAAGTGTCTGAGTGCGTGCCTTCAGCACGCCGATCCATACACAGCAGCCACCTGCCCTTTGGACAGACAGGAATTAATCCAGAACCCCTATAGCAAATAGCTTCAATCATTATAAACTGAATTAAGCAGTCCTAGATCTGTAACTACTCAAATCCTCACTAGATTGGTGCAAAAGTGTGATTTATAATCCACTCTCAGCAGCAGATTTGAAAGATAGTAGAGTTCATTTAAATTAACCTAATGATGCTTTGCTAGATAATATTCCTTGTGCACAAGTAATCTGAACTTGAGTGTCTGGTATTTGTGCCACCAGAGAAAAATCAAAACCTCATATCACTAGATCAATATTACATGAATATGTAGAACGTCAGAATCTTTCTTTCTGGGTAAAATCTGATCTTTAAGAAATAAGCTGTACATCACTCCAATAATTACCTACAGACTGAATACATTATCAACAGCAAGGTCCCCTTAGCTAAAGAGTACTTTTAACCATTCTAAAATCCACCTCATAAAGTTCACATCACTATAAATTCCCTAACAAATGGAGAATTAGCTGCAGAACTAGGGGAGGAAATTAGCATATGCATAGAAGCATTTATCTGCCCGAGGTACTTCAAAGTTGAATTAGATTGCAGCTAATTTTTCTGCTAAAAAATGTTTTACCAAGCCATGGTAAACAATTACGCTTTATTTTAAGCAGTTAAAGAAACAATATTTTATTGTTTTTCTTTCATTTTTCGTCCTCCAGTTTGAATAAAGTTGGTTTGACTTCCTCCACCAGATTCTGTCTGTCTTCTTCCCAAATTCTGCCGTAATAATCTTTTGCTTTCCCTAGCTGGCCACCTACCTTTGAGAAAAGGCTTCCTTACAACCTTCCTCTTTAGGTGAGAGCAAAACAATCTATTATCATCACACCAAGATAAAATAAAGATAGCTAAAGCCAGATCCCTGGTTGTTCACAATGGCAGGACTATGAGGATTTACATCACATCCAACTCCCATCTGCGCAGTGATTTTATTTCACCCAAATAACGGCTGGCCAACTGTGCACCCACAGCTGCCATGCCTTTGCACAGACATCGCCTGCACGTGGCACGGAGAAGCTGAGGTGCCACTCTGTGGCACGGGGACCATGCAAGGGCTATACCACTGTCCCCTTCCATCGCCTCCCTGCTAAACCCATCTCTGCCTTTTTCTTTGTCTAGCAACTTTTTGGGGGCAAATACTGATTTTTTCCAAATTAGATGCATCAAGAATTCCTTCTGGAATTCTGTTGTTGTATCAATAATTATCCTAAAGCAAGGAAACAACGATTCAAATTAGGTTCTCTCACAGTACTTACAAGTGATTTGATGCTGTTTTCTTTTGCCAGTTTCAGAGAAGATTTATAGCAACTTGCCAAATTTTCTTTATGAGTATCAGTGAGATGCCCTCTTGCTATCGGCCCAACTGTATGGATCACATCTGCAAGAAATGGAAAAAAATACATATTATTTGCAGTTCCTAAAGTTCATTACTTATTTCATGAATGCACGAAACTACTACATTGGAAAATCAATCCATTTTGGCATCGTATCTAGACAAAAAAGTTGGAATGTTATTGTAAGAAAACGTTTACAACTGATGAACATGTAATATATGTGGAAGTTATGTGAAAGTGAGAAACCATAAAGGCTAAATTTTGAAGCAGAACTGCTTCAAAGGAAAATTAGAAAAACGTACCAAGCGCGTGTTACGTGTCTACCACAAATCACATGTGGGATGGGCTATACATCTGAAACAGTTGCTCTCACTCTTTCATGGGCTACTCCTTGGGAAAGCTCTCTGCAAAAGCTCAGCATGCAGGTGGTGACAAATAAGCTTCATTTTTTTGCCTAATACTCAAGGTGTTTTCTCAGCAACTATTTGAAGAGAAGTTATGATCTAAGAATGTGTTAATTATTTCAGGAACGTGCTTTTCTTTCACATCAAACCAGGTGGAGACACTGCACAATAAAACAATAATATCTTATTCTGCCTGAAAAAGTCTAATGAACAAAAAGAGACAGCAAAGTCAGGGAGTAGCTCAGGTACGATGCCTCCACATACACCGAAACCAGATGCAGCAATCAATCAGCGTCTTCAGAGCGCAAAATGAAAAATGAAGTAAAAAAAGCCTGGAGTAAAACACGTTAAAGAGAATCCTAGCAAAGTAAAAGGTGTCATGAAAAATTAATATTTTCTTCCCCCCATGTTTGCTAAGTAGCAAGCACGTGTACTTCTCAGACATCGTTCTTCAACAGTGTGTGCAAAGGCGCTGCAGTGAGTTGTGGTGGCAGGTACATCCTTTCCTCCCACCCTTTTGTCACCTCCTACAACACAGCAGCAATAAGCAGCAGCACCATTTCTGTAACGTTTCCACAAAAAGGAAATGCTTCCAGTTCAGGCACCGCAGTCCCTTTGCTCAGGTTATATTTCTGCCCCTCACGTGACAGGTTTCCATGGACATCTGCTGTCCATGGAATAGCTGTTTACTAAAAGGCTTTACAGAATTCAGACTACTAATGTTTGTCCAGGCTGCCTTCGATTATTCCTCTCCAACCTATCCTAAATCACGAGAGAAAATGGCCAAGCGTCAAGATGCAAGTCACCCTCATGTTTATTATTCCTCAAGGCAGATACCAGCTGCCAAGTCCTAGTCTCTGCAATATTAACAAAGTAAATAAACAAAAGGTTTACTACTCTTCCTTCCATTTTGATCGCAGTAATTTCTTCCAGTTCGGAGCCCAGGATGGACAGATTGGACATTACCTGCTGAATGCCACAGTGGTAATACCTACATACAACACCTACAGCAAACCCTCCCCACAGCACTTGAGGAGATGGAAACATGCAGTAGATGTTCACGTTCTGGTAGCAGGTGATGAAACAAGTTGAATGGTTTTACCAGAAATTTGGGAGAAGACATACTTTGCACACACTTTTTAGTTACTATAATAAACTGAGAGCTATTAAGACCTAGGAAAAGACCAAAAAAAAGCAAATGAGTTTAAAATTTGCTTCTGCTCACAAAGACGAGGTTTGAGCACTTTCATTAGGAAAGACCATCATTTCATATGTCTGCAAACTCTAACTACAGTAGTTTGCTTCAGGTTGAAACTTCCCAGGGCACGTTTTCATTTGGCAGTGTTAGCACTTGGTCCCTTCAAAGAAAGAAAAGCATCTCTTGACACTTTTTCTTGTTATTTATTTTCGAAAGAGACAAGCTGCAATTACTGAGCAAAGGGAAGGAATGTAACAGTAAAGCTGATCTCAATCAAGGTTATCCCACATTTATAGACAGTAAGATCAGAGGCACTGCAGTGCATTTTAAATTCACAACACCCATCAGTCAACAAGCAAGTAAAGTAATGGAACGACTGCAAAACAAACTTAACAAATCATAAAGGATGAATAAGCAAAGAACCCCAGAAGAATCCCCTTTTTCTTCTAAAGCCAAATTAACTTGCATCTCAAGGTGCTGCTGCTCAGAAGTGGAAGCCTAATTGTTGAATTTAACCATGAGTTAACCAACAAGGTGGAGGGTTGGGGAACGGCCCAAGTGCTAAATTCTCACTCAAGTCTTTCTGTACAAAACTTCCCTTCACAGACTTTCTACGTACATTTTACTCATTAAACGCTATCTCCATTTCTTTCACTCTTCATTATTAAACACAAACTTCAAAAATTCTCATTTCAACAATGCAAAATGTCTCTTTTACCATCCTCTTTTTTTAAATGGAACTTCCCGATTTAGCATTTTCATGGTACTTCATCACCAACTCTCTGCCACTACACTCGATGTATCACATAAATAGATAACCTTCAATGCAATTATTGGCTGTTAGGTGGCTTTTTTTTTTTTTTTAAACAAATTCAAAATAAGTGCTTCTCCGGACAGGACACTGAAGGTAGTTATGAATTGGTTTATCATCTATCAACATTATTTTAATTGTTTAGGGATTTATCATTGTCAAAATCTATTTGTCTAAGGCACGTTCTTATTCAGAAACACATGAACATGACGAAATAACATTTTACTAGCACTAACAGCACCAATCACAGGCCAAAGTGTTTCTTGGTCAGCTGACGAACATGAAAGTAGAGATTTTATTGTTGTACACTGTCAGTAAAATGTGTATATCTATACATTGTCTAAACAATCTATTATTCTGCTCAAACTACTCCCCAGTATCAAGGTTTGCAAGCAGGCAAAATCCTTTGAGATTATACAGGCATAAAGCAAACAGATCAGGAAATAAAAACACTTCCCCAGCGCTCCCAGCCCAACATGTTGATATATGAGGATTGGATTCCACAGCTTGAAGAAGAGCCATTTATTTTTAATACAGTTATGAAGACTGGGTCAATCTTCCACCTTGCCTCCCACAAGGAAGTTTCATTTCTGCCTTTGTCGCACCCTCACCACATGCAGCTGGAAAAATTCAGTTAATGCAGTGCTAGTAGGCACAGTGGAAACGTCTACAGGCTTCTGTCCTCAAAACAAACTTCAGCCCTACTACTTCAGCCACCAGCAACAGCAGCCAGCCCCACATACAGACCGCTGGCATTGCCCATGGGACACAAATGTGCAAACCCTGTTCGATGCTCTTCCACATCGACCTGCCTGGGGGTAGAGCAAAGAGGTCTCACAGAGAACGGCTGCATTCATTCTAATTTTTTACGTAAGACAGAGCCACTAGCATTGCTTTGAAGCTTCTGCTTTCCACGGTCATTCTTCAAGCTGAGGACTTTGGTAAGAAAGATGCAGTCACGATGTTCCTAAATCACTTTCATTCCATGTACACAACAAAGGTGCATGCTCAGATATTTTAGAGTACACAGAAATGCAGAGCCCCCAAGGTAGGAATACGTTTGTTTGAGCTTCAGGCTACAGCAATGGCTTTTAATCTAACAAAGCTGCTTAATGTTAAAGACATGCTAACAATAACGAAAGAGATACTTTTCCTCCAAAAATACTTCCAGAGAGAAGGTAAAGGTGAAAGAAAGCAATGGCACAGATCTACAACATACTAGCATGGTTTGTAGCTCCTCTAGAGCTAAAACAATCGAGTTTTGCACTGTTATCTCTAAAATTTATGCTGCATCTTGTGGCTGATATGAGGAGAGCGTACTTCTCAATCTGTCTGCTCTTTTTCTAGTCTTCTGACTTTCAGTCACTTGGTTAGAAATTCTGGCAGCCAAATGGAGGAGTGTAGCAACCGCACATCAATTTGCATGTGTGCATGCTCTGCATCATCTCTGCTTGCTTTCATTCCATTTTGCGTCTTGTTTTTCTCTAAAGCACTATAATGAATGCAGGCATCTTGTGTAAGCCACTAACTAATCTTGAGGGATAACAGGCATTTTGGTATTTAAAATATCCCTGTCCCCACTTAGCTATCAGTGAAAATATATGTAATTTGGGCGTTTAATCAACCCTTCAAAGCACAGTGACTCTTCCCTCAAATTCCTGCACGGGTCATTGAAAAATGAGACCATGTCTACCTTAACACACAAACCCTACATGTGAAAGGGCAAGCAAGGCTTGTTTGTTCTGCTTTTTTTTCTTCCTGGTCTCCTTCATTAAATTAATCAGTCCATAAATCTTAACACGCTGTTTTCCTCATGATTTGTGTCTACCGTACTTAAAGGGCAGAGCAATGTGGGCCAAGATGCAAAAACAACTTCCAGCTGCAAAAGCATAAAGTGAAAAGTGACTGTGACTCACCGTCACCATGGAGGGCTCTGATGTAATTTACTTTTCTCCTGTTCTTTGTAGAAGTGATGTTAGACAGCCAAAATATTAGCATAATGTACCTTCAAACAAATGAAGAAGTGGAAGTTTTCCTCATTTCCTGCCTCGCAGAAGTGAGGGCAGCACACATTCGCAGCGTTAACGAAGCAGCAGACCAAGGCTAGAATCAATCACACGCCTCCCTCGTTCATCCCGTTGGCGCTTTCACAGCCCTAATCGGCCCATCTAGCGATGCATAATGAGGCTGTCCTCCGTCCATCACTGCCTGAGCTGGATGAATTTTAAGAAGGAAGCTACCATACTGCGTGTCACTGAATAAAAACAAGACATCTGACAATTAACCGCAGCATCAAGAGCTGCTCCATTTGTAAGTCTTACCAGCTGACTTCCTCAATAAGCAGTCACACGATTGGTCCTGAAACTAACAGCCGAGCTTCAACTGACAGGAGGTGAAATTACCCCCATATGCTCTTACCTACTCATAGACACTACTCATGAACTCCATATTGCTTCGGTATACCGATTTGCTTGGCTTATTTTCTATTGCCAGTTGCATGCATTTGCTCATAAAGTGTGCATTTTCAATGTGTAATAAACAACTGTTAATTCAAGTTCAACCTAAATGATTCCCTCAGGACCACGGTCTAATTCAAGTTATTTACTAATATATGCCTCCAAAACTTGATTA